ACATGTTATCGTCTGTTGCCCCCCCCCCCCCCCCCCCCAGATGATATATGTCATCACTACAACAAAAATAACTTTTAGCGGGAATAAATATACACATTAAACAAAGAGTGCTAAGCCTTTACTGGCATTAGTTTATTGTCATTGGATCCAATGTCGTTATAAACTTTAGGGACACTTACAAAGAGTGCGAATTGCCGCTAAAAATATATGTTTAGCGGCAATTAAGCTATTGCCGCTAAAGATCATTTTTGGTGTAGTGCATGCTACTTAATGTTATGTGATTTGCATGGTTTAGAGTGTTGGATCAGTTTTACCCGCAATATGTCTTCTAAATGACGATGTAAATATGCATGATTATATAGTTATCAGGCGTGGGTTTCAATCTTCTAGATATTTTTCCCTTTGACTTGTCTGCGTTTGTAGATATGTAATATACCGTCGATCTAGTCTGGTATAATGTTATTTATGAATCTGTTTTGCATTCTTTTCTACAAACTTCTATATGATTTTCTTCTAGTAAAATGAGCTTTTAGTCATACTTATAATTACTACTGCTTTGTTGATCGTGCTTTTGATTGTTTTTCCATGTTAAACTTTGTGGTGTGTAGGACCTAGGTGGCAGGGCCATCCGTGTAAGTCCTGCTGAAGCTCGTCCACCCAGACGTCAATTCTGAAGATTGTAGCCAACATCTTTTTGACCGAGAAAAGGCTTGAGGTAAACAACTCGCGTGCTCTCTTTTTCTGGGCTGTTTCTTGAGTCTTCACATCTTGAAATTCATCAATATATCTATGTTCAATTGTCATGCGATTAGCAAGCCAAGTAATATAAGTTTCAAAAGTCGAACCAAAATATATGCTTCTGTTTACAAAAGTGAATAATTTACATGGCAGGGTCCAGGAGGTGACGATAGTTGCAGAAATGAATGAGTTATGAACTTTGCAACAGCTATCTTAAACTTGCGCGGACAAACTACTCTCTACTTCTGGACTAACTAGAGCTCTCAAGTAAATTAGTTTTCGTAATGTATGTTCTGAAATTGCCTCAGGAAGAAATTCTGATCTTGTAATATGATTCTATCCATCACTTGTTGACAGACAAGACAATGAAAAAGTTTGATACTCTTCGAAAATGTATCTTAGCGCGAAGCATCCTTGTTCTACAAATGAATTAGATAGAATTGTGTGTTTATTGTGCCTATGCCTCTACAACTATCCCCTTTTAGGTTGTGTTGCTCCTACTTCCCAAAAATGCTACCATGCCCATGTCGAATCCTCCCATAATGCACTACATTTTGGAGGAGTTTTAGGTTTCAAGCAATGTTATCAAAGGCGCGCTTAAGCCTTGGAGTGATGCTCAAAATGCGTTGAGTGCTTTGCCTTGCTTAATTTGTGCTTCAATATCGTCATCAAGGCTCTACGACATACTTCTCTTTGTGAATGAGCATTTCCCGAAGAGGCAAAGCTAAACCATTGAGATTTCACTTTATCTTAAAACCAATTAATATGTTCATATATTTGTTATTCATGCTTATAAGTGTTACTCCCTTTGTTCCTAATTACTTGTCTACTTTTGAATTGACACACCTATTAAGAAAGCAATTATTGACATAGTGAATTTACCATTTTATCCCTATTAATTATGAAGCGGATGGATTAAAAATTCAAGATTTTCAAGAAATTGTACCTTTTTCAAAGTAATTAATTGAGGGTATAATAGGTAAAATTATTTTGTCCTTTCTTGATTTGTCAAAATGGATAAGTAATTAGGGACAACTATAAAAGAAAAAGTATACAAGTAAATAGGGACAGAGGGAGTAGTTTTGAACAAAACCATGTATAGATATATTTGTATGTTTTCTCCGGTGGTAGGCTGAGAACTACACTATAATGCTAAAAAATGTAACTTGCCATTTTGGAACTACCATAAGCGCTTAAATTGATAAAAGTTAAATCTTAATGGTGATTGATGAAATAGTCAAAATATGCACAAGTTGAGTTGTATTCTTAGTGATTCACAATTAAAGTGATTTGTAGTAACTTATAGTAGTTGGTTTTGTATTGAAATTCCAGTGAAGCCACTTGGTGAGTAAATGCAAATTAAACATGCTAAATAGAAGATAAAAGAACAGAACAATATATACTTGCTAATATATTTTCATAATATTCTCCACAAAAACAGAAAAGAAAAAAAGACATGAAACTTTAATCTCTATGCTCTTGAAGCAGCGCCTATGCTCTTTCTTATAATCAACATGTTGAATCTTGAGAGATAACAACGCAAGCTTTTGAAGAATCAACAACTAATACTCCTGTTTGTGTACTGTCTTGTAAATTCTCAACGCGTAAACCTCCACAAGACACCTCAACTTCGCGACAACTTATGTGAGAAGCTGATTTACGATCACTCATTTGAACTATTCCACTTAGACTAACAGAAAATCTTGTAGTTTGACCAGACGCGAAGTCACCAGCAATAGATGTACCAATCCAATATTCATATGCCTCAGGTAAAGCTGCAAACGTTGAATCGATTAAGCTTTGATCTTTTGCATCTTGATGGAATTTATCAAACACATTGCCACTCCAAAGAAGGGTGTCGGTATAGGATATGTTAGCCTTGAAATCGTTGTAATAGAAATCATAATTGTTGTTAGGATTTTGAACTGAGAAAGTGAGGTTCCAATTGTTTGGATTGTACATTATCAGAGGATGAACATAACGAGTCAATACAGAAAATGAAGATGATGACACTGCTTCAATTTTGAATTTTGGGATCGCGAAGTACCATAGTAGTATCTTCATGATCAACATAGAATACGCGAAAAACTAGAGTGACACCAAGAGCTATGGCTAATACAAGTAGTAAGATTTGTAAAACCAAATTGTACTTTGACTTTTTTGTAGAATCAATTGTTGTTGCATCCTTGTTATTTGATTTCTCCTCCATTTGATTACTACGAAAAATAAAAAAAATTGACAAAAAATTGATGAAATAGAAGGTGTATAAAGTAAGAGAAAGTTTACTAATGTAGATGTAATTTCTTGGCTTAACGTGTGATTGTTATATAGAAAAGCAAAAGTCATTATTCTAAAAGGATTAGGAGAAATTGTTTCCATTATGGAATCGGATTAATTTTATTTTAAGGCATAAAGTGTTTGTTTTACGAAAAAGAAACGTTTTTCCTAATTGTATTCTACTTAGATTTGATATTTTTGGAAACTTATTTGTCTTCTTTTTTTTCCTTTCCTTTCCTTTTCTGTTTATTTTATTAACCTTTTAGTTTACTTTAAGTCGTATATTATTTCAAAAATAATTTTTCCATGTTACTTGTTACTTTTAATATATTAAAAAATAATTATTATTAATTTTTCATATTTTATCTTTAACATTAATTACTCATTTCAAATTATTTTTTAAAATATAATACTTAACATCTGTTAATATGAGTATTATAATAAAACTAGTAAATTTATCCGCGCTATGCACGGTATTAATTTTTTAAATAGTTATCCTTTTATAATCTATATATTAAAATTTAAGTTTTATTCTAATTTATTGTTAACATTTGCTTTCCACTTAGTTTTATCAATAAAATTTGAAGAGAGATTGATCTCTTATATCACCTTGTGTCATCAAATAGGACAAAAATATGTTACCTCCTCTTAAGCATGTGAAAGCTAACAATAATTGTTGATTTTTTTTATAACATCTCTTTAATTGATATGACTTTGCTATTTTTTTTTCTCTCTTTCTTCCCTGACTTCTTATCCATCATCTTTTTACCCTTTTTGATCATGAATTATTACTTTTTTGAGAGTTGAATTCTGAAAAAATAAGTTTGGCCATAATTTCTTTTCTTTTTTAAATTCACTTTGAAGCTGAAATTTAAAATTTGAGAATTAAAAAAAATTGTTTACCTTTTCACTTCAATTTGCTTATAAAATTTCAAAAAACAATTTCTATTTGTGTTCATGATAAAATTTAACGTCATTAAATTATCTCTATGATAATCAACTCTAGAAAAATATTATATCATATTAACAATCCAATTAAAAGCAAGATATATAGATTCGACAAGTTGAATTATGAAATAGACTATAAAAAGACACAAATCAATAAAAAAAACATGTAATTACTCATATGTTAATACACATTAAAAGCCAATATTTGAATCTTTGACAAAGAAATGTTCAGGAGTACAAATGAATCAGGATAGACATAAAACGCCCAATAGATTTTAATGCAAATGTGCTACTATTCAGAAGAGTTTTACAAGTCATTTTCTTATATTTAAATAGCTTTAGCAAACTATCAACCACTTTTCACATCATCTGTTGATCCTCCTTCTATCAATTCGCTATGGGAAAATAGATAAATAGGTTTCTTGGTCTTAGAGAACGCCTCATCAACATGTCTAATATCAATTCGTTATGACCTTAATTTTCAAAGATGAAATACTCTGAAAACTCTGAGAAAATATTATCGTCTGATCCACTCTACTAACCTCTTATTTATACGAAATATCAGAAGAACAAACGATGAACCATGTATTAGACACCTTACCATTTTAGAGGCAGCTTGATTCCCAACTCTACCATCAAACTTTCTCTGACTGAATCACCAAACAAAAAGAAAATTACAATTTGGAATAGAGATCATACACAAGATCCATACAATACTAAGATTCAATACACTAACTTCAGGGAACAGGGAATAGAGAAACTATTTCTATTTGGCTCTCGACCTTTCAGCTAAAAGTACAACAATCTATTAAAAAGAAAGGAAAAAGAAGAGTATGTCAGACTAACAATTTAATTAAAAGCAAAATAGAGTAAGCAAGCTACAACATGTAAAAAAAACATTTCCAATCTATATATATAATACAAAAATGTAGACTATGAAAAGACCTATAATTAATTAAAATATAATTACTCAGAGATTAATACATAGTAAAAGCTATTGTAATTAACAATTGAAAATAAAGAAACGAAACGGTTGATGAAAAAAAAACTGAAAGGAAGAATTATGATTTGAATAGAACATATAATCATTAATTTCACATTTTAAAAAAAATTAAAATCTCATAATTAGTACTAATGTTTAGTCAATCAGTTATTTTGGAATAATTCTAGTTAACAATTTTGCAGTAACTTAATCAAATTAAATTAAGCAAAATTTATGTTCCTTTTAAGTTATTGACGTTCCATTTTTAAGTTAATGTTAGATTAATTCTAAATACATAATGAAATTAACATTCCCTTTTTAAAGTTATTGACATTCCTTTTTAAGTTTAATGTTAGTTTTATTATAAATATATAATCAAATTAACATTCATTTTTTTGGTTAATTTTTTTATAACTATATAATCAAATTAATGTTCCTTTTGTAGTTACTACAATTTTATTGTCATTACACTACACGATTTATTTTGGAAGGAAGGGTTAACTGTTACAAATGCTCGTAATGAAGGAAGAGAATAATGTTTTTAACAAATTTTTGAATAGAAAATGAAAGGAAAAATTGAAAATTCCGTGAAAATAAATAAATAATAATATTGATCAATTAGGCATGCCACATCAGCGAGCTGATATTCAGCTTTATATATATATATATATATATAGATAGATATTCATATCAATTATTGTTTTTAAGGGAGTACAGAAGTTGATCGACATTCCACCGTTAAAAGAGTAATTAAATCTAGGAACAATAACACTTTTCATCCCTTAATTATTGATAATTAGATTAAATATATTTTATCTTTCAATTAATTAATATATATATTTTTTATTCCGTTATTTGGAAATATGTAATTGATACTCAGAGCATTTATTTAACTGGATTGCATTTAGGGGTGTTCACGGTTCGGTTTGGATCGGTTATTGGTGAAAATCAAAACAAAAAAAATTTAGTTGTCACCATCGCTCGCTTGGCTTCGACTTCGGCAACGACAAATGATTTGATTGATTGATTATTTTTTAGGCAGAATTTATTTAATCAAGCTCATTAATTAATTTTCTTTTTCTTAAAAATTAATTTAGAATGTTAATTAATCAATTAACAGAATTATATTAATTTCGCGTAACAGTAAAGTCGCTCAGAAGGGACTTGTTCCTTCCGAACATACAC